ATATCAGTTCGTTCCGTATTCAACCGGTTCCAGTTATACCGATTAAATCCGAATATCAAATCAAGTCTAGTAGAGCATCTTAACATAATTAATCAGTTAATTCATCAGTCTGAGCATAGTCTTTAATAATTGTTTATATTATATTTCAGTTTGATCAGGCGTCAGCACTACCTTTCATTTTCACGGATCGGGTGGAGACTCGGACTAAGTACTACATTGATTATAATTACGCTAACATGTTTGAGGTATGTATATTCAGTATCCGCTCGGAATGGTCGCCGGTCTATTCTGGGTTCTAGTGGCCCTAATCTGTCCACTAGAGTGTGCACATGGTGTCCGGTATTAGTTTGTGCCGGCAGATGTTCAGTTATCAGTCAGGTGATTTATATCACGAGATCAGTATCAGATTTTTCAGTACCGGTATCAGATATCAGTTATCAGTTCAGTTTCAGTTCAGTTATATATACCAGGATCATGATATTGTCATTATTTTCACTGTTTTACTTTAGTATGAGTTTCTGCGGAGCAGAGTGTTTTGGTGCTCACGCCCCCACGTATTTCATGTTTTTCAGGTCACAGAGTCGGGGACGAGGAGTGAGCTGACGAGCTGTTCAGGATATTTGTTGGTATGTATATATATATGTTTTGGCTACTCTACTATTCCGGTACAGTTTTCAGTACTTTAACTCAGCTTTTGATCCGACACTAGTCGGTTAATATAATTATTATTTTTTTTTATCAGTTTAAAATTAACGGTTTTCATAAAAGTCAGATTTTCACGGTAACACTCCGAATCAGTTTTCGCAAAAGGAAATACTTTATTTATTTTATTCAGAAAATTTGCAAAAAAGCGTACTCTGATTCCAGTAAATAGCGGGGTGTTACAATTGGTATCATAGCACGTTTCTGCGTCTCTGAAAAGTTTTATAAGTTAGAAATTTTCAGAAAAACCTGAACCGTCACGCTCACGCCTCGCCGACTACAGGTAAGTGCTGATTTATGTTTTCAGTTATAAACATATTACTTTGCCTATGCTCAGTAATTATTAATCATGACTTAGTTAAGATGCTCGAATCAGGATCAGACCTTAGAATTCAGTGTACTCAGATATAACTTTAAATTCCCTCAGGATTCACGTCAGTATTCTTCAACCATCTTTGGCAACTCGTCAAGAGATTTGTGTGCCTTAGTGATCAGTTAAAGTATTTTTCATGTGTTCAATAATCTTGAACTTCCTCAGTGTTCAAATGTCGCCCTGTAGGGAACCCGATCACCCGGTTCTTCCTCAGGCCACAGTAGTCGCACAGTTCTGCGACTATCATGCTGAGAAATTCTCCGGGCAGGGAGACCCCCGTATTGTGGACGAGTGGATTCAGGGCCTTGAGTTGATTTTCGAGGTCATGGATTGTCCAGACAGATATCGTGTTATCTGCGCTCAGCTTCAGCTAACTGGTGATGCCGGGCTCTGGTGGAATGCCTACTGGAGCATGCGTCCCGGCGAGAAGGAGGGTTGTACATGGGATAGGCTCAAAGAGCTAATCCGCGAGAAGTACTACCCCACCTACTACAGAGCAGAGATAGAGCGGCAGTTCGTGTTGCTCAAACAGGGTACTCGATCTGTTGACGAGTACGAGAGAGAGTTTACCAGAATTGTAGCTTTTGTTCCGGACCTGGTTCGTACGGAGGCACAGAGGGCACAGCGCTTCATTGACGGGCTTTACCCAGCAGTCCGTCACAACATTGTAGGACACGGGACCCAGAACTATGCACGTGCTGTTTCGATTGCTCAAGAGGTGGATGCCAGCATTCGAAGGGAGGCGAACAATGATCGATTGCAGCCAGTTGCCCCTGCCCAGTCTTCTACAGCTCCACCGATGCCACCAGCCACTGCCCAACCACCGAAGAACAACAAGAGGAAGGGGAAAGGTGCCCCGATGGACAAGAGGACCCGGCGGAGGCTACAACAGATTCCACAGTACCCCACCTGCGGAAGACTTCACCGCGGAGAGTGTCAATTGGGCCAGGATGTATGTTATTACTGTCGCGAGCCCGGACACTTTGCTAACCGTTGTCCGAGGAAGGCACAGCAGCTCCAGCAGCCTCAGCAGCCACAACAGCAGCAGCAGCAGCCTCGTCAGCAGGCACAGAGGCCGCCCCAGCAGCAGAGGGGCAGACAGCAGGCACGGGTTTACGCAGTCGATCAGACAGAGGCAGAGCAGCAGCTAGGTACTATGTCAGGGATGATCATGCTTAAAAATGTTCCTGTGTTTGCTTTATTCGATACTGGAGCAACGCATTCGTTTATTTCACGACGATGCCTTGATGCCATCGAAGTTCATGCCATTACCGCTGTCGATCCTCTCGAGGTGAGTCTAGCCTCGGGACGAAAGATAGTGACCTCAGCTAGAGCTTCAGATCTTAGCCTTTCCATCGGTGGTCGTTCATTGTCTACCGACGCGTATGTTCTTGAGATGAGGGATTTTGACCTCATTCTCGGGATGGATTGGCTATCCTTTTATCATGCAGGTATTCGATGTCATGACTGGGAGATTACTCTCTATCTTCTGGGAGACGATTCGATTATTTTCTTTGGCACCCGGAATCGTTCATTATCTCATGTTGTTTCGATGGCGAAAGCCACCAAGTTGCTGCGACGAGGCAACTGCCAGGGTTATCTGGTGAGCCTTGTCGATGATTCTCAGAACGCACGATCACCTCACGATGTTCCAGTTGTTCGTGAGTTTGTGGACGTGTTCCCAGACAAACTTCCAAGAGGACCGCCTAACCGGCAGATGGAGTTCTCTATCGATCTCATTCGAGGAGCTGGCCCAGTATCCAAAGCCCCATACCGTATGGCGCCGAAGGAGTTGTAGGAGCTTAAGGCACAGATTCAGGAGTTATTACGACTTAGTTTCATCTGACCGAGCGTGTCACCTTGGGGAGCACCCGTTCTCTTTGTCAAGAAGAAGGATGGATCCATGCGCATGTGTATCGACTACCGGGATCTTAACCGGTTGACGATCAAGAACAAGTATCCGCTTTCCAGGATCGACGACTTATTTGATCAGTTGAGAGGAGCCTGTGTGTTCTCAAAGATTGATTTACGATCAGGCTACCACCAGCTAAAGATTAAGGAGTCAGATATTGCTAAGACCGCTTTTAGGACTCGTTACGACCATTATGAGTTCGTCGTCATGCCATTCGGCCTCAGTAATGCTCCAGCGATTTTCATGAACCGTATTTTCCATTCCTACCTCGATCAGTTTGTTATTGTCTTTATTGACGATATTCTTATCTACTCGAAGAGCTAGAAGGAGCACGAGGAGCATCTGAGGGTGGTTCTCGAAACCCTCAGACGAGAAAAGTTGTATGCAAAATTCTCTAAATGCGAGTTCTGGCTCCAGCGAGTAGCTTTTTTGGGTCATGTGATTTCTCAGGCAGGTATCGAGGTGGATCCTTCTAAGGTCTCAGCTGTTCAGAACTGGTCGACACCGAAGAGTCCGTCCGAGGTTCGCAGTTTTCTCGGTTTAGCTGGCTACTATCGCATATTTATCGAGGGCTTTTCTAAGATATCCCTCCCACTATCCCAGCTGACGAGGAAGTCTGTGAAGTTCGAGTGGACTGACCAATGTGAGTCGAGCTTCCAGGAGCTCAAGAGGAGATTAACTTCATCCCCGGTGTTGACTATTCCCGATCCTTCTCGGAGTTTCACTATTTTTAGTGATGCTTCGAAGCAGGGACTGAGATGTGTACTCATGCAGGACGGCCAGTTCATTGCCTATGCTTCACGCCAGCTTAAGCCGCACGAACAGAACTATCCGACGCACGAATTGGAGTTAGCCGCAGTGGTTCATGCCCTCAAGATTTGGCGACATTATCTTTACGGCGGTCGTTGCGAGATTTTCACAGATCATAAGAGCCTGCAATACATTTTCACGCAGAAGGAGCTTAACATGAGACAGCGCCGTTGGCTCGAGCTTGTCAAGGATTACGATTGCTCGATTCAGTATCATCCGGTGAAGGTGAACGTCGTTGCTGACGCCCTAAGCCGAAAGTTGAAGGGTGACTTGACGTACGTCGTTACTCAGCAGAGTCCGTTGATTCAGGAGTTCACCCGGATGCAGATTCAGGCGGTCGATGCACTTCCCACAGCTATTTGGGGGGGTGTCAGTGCCAGTATAAGTGCCATGCAGATTCAGCCGACGCTGAGAGAGAGAATCTGGCGGGAGCAGGCTTCTGAAGAGTTCGTTCGAGTCATGGATGCCAAAGTCCGCGCCGGAGGCGTCGAGGTTTTTCAGCGAGGTCCAGATGGTGCCTTGGAGTTCAGAGGCAGGATCGAGGTGCCGAAAGTCGAGGCATTGCGGAAGGAGATATTGTCAGAGGCTCATACCGCACCATACCTAGCCCATCCCGAGAGCACGAAGATGTATCATGACCTGAAAGGGTCGTTCTGGTGGCGAGGGATGAAGAAGGACGTCGCTGAGTTCGTCCGGAGATGTTTTACCTGTCAGCAAGTCAAAGCCGAGCACCAGAGTCCGATCGGCCCCCTGCAACCACTGTCGATTCCGAGGTGGAAGTGGGAGGAAGTCACGATGGATTTCGTTACGGGATTACCGAGGTCGTCTGAACATCAAGACGCTATTTGGGTCGTGGTCGACAGATTGACTAAGGTCGCTCATTTCTTGCCCGTTTCGATGAAGATGTCTTTGGATAAGTTGGCTGAGATATATACCCGTGGGATCATCCGACTCCACGGAGTGCCCGTTACTATCGTATCAGACAGATTCTGGCATAGTTTACACGAGGCGATGGGCACGAAGCTAGAGTTCAGTTCAGCCTACCATCCGGAGACAGATGGTCAGTCCGAGCGGACCATACAGACGCTTGAGGATATGCTCCGAGCTTTGGTTGTTGATAGAGGTGCTAAGTGGGAGTCGTTGTTTCCGTACGCCAAGTTCGCGTACAACAACAACTATCATTCTTCTATTCAGATGGCTTCTTACGAGGCACTTTACGGTCGTAAGTGTCGTTCCCCTCTTTATTGGGACGACGTCGGAGAGCGACGAGTACTCGGTCCGAAGATGATCGAGGAGACAGCAGATCAGGTTGAGTTGATCCGGCAGAGACTCAAGGCAGCTCAGAGTCGACAGAAATCTTCAGCCGATCATCATCGACGATATATTCAGTTCGAGGTTGGCGAGCAAGCTTTTCTTAGAGTTCGTCATATTCGCGGAGTTGTTCGATTCGGGAAGAGAGGGAAGCTGCACCCTCGATTCATTGGCCCGTTCGAGGTTCTCGATCGAGTAGGCAAAGTCTCGTACCGATTAGCCTTACCTCCCGAGCTATCCGACATTCATAATGTCTTTCACGCATCTATGTTGCGTAAGTACGTGTGTGACCCTGATCATGTTATTCCTCATTCAGATATTCAGGTTCAGCCAGACTTATCGTACGAGGAGCGACCGGTAGCTGTACTGGACCGTCAGGTTCGTCAGCTCCGGAAACGAGATGTCCCCCTCGTGCGTATTCAGTGGGATCGCCACGGAGCTACTTGGGAGGCGAAGGCTGACATTCGCGCTCGTTTTCCAGATTTTCAGTTTTGATGTACATATTTTTGTGTTCATGTACATATTTCATGTATATTCAGTTCATTTTTAATTTCCGAGGATGGAAATTTTTAATGAGGGAGGATTGTAATATCTCGTCAGATTAATAATATAAATCATGTTTTAGTTCCGATATAATGATAATGTCGATTATTATTTCCAGAATTAATTATTTCAGTCGAGATTACCCGAAATTATTTTCGACGTCTCGTTTACGTTCGGAATAATTTCGGATATTAAGTATCATGTTTAGTGATTAATTAAGTATATAGATTATGTTTGATTAAACATTAAGCATGTTTAACCTAATTATAGCCGTGAGCAATATTTTTTTTTTCCCAACATTTTTCCCTAAATGCCGTAGGCATTATTATGAGTAATGGTGGGGGAAGTTTTCTTGAAGTCTTAGCATGAGGTGGCACTTTTAAGGAGCATATGTGATGACTTAATCATTTTTAAAACTCCAAGGTTATGGCAAATGTCTTGCTAATATTAAGCCACAATTCATATCATCGTCCTTATTTTTTTGTTCGGTCCATA